CTATATACACACACACACACACACACACACACACACACACACACACACACACACACGCACAAATGATCAGTAAATTCTCTCTGCAAATCTGTTGTACACAGCACGTAGTTGAGTATCTATCTGTAACTAGATGCATTATAGAAAACAAACAATACATGTACAATAAAATATCTTCCTTAAAAAGCAGTATTTTAAAAATTGTCTAATAGCTGCAACTAGTGCAAATTTCACCGTGTCCAATCACTTGAATGAAAATAGAGTCCCACATGTGACAGTGAGAACCCAACTACTTAGAAACCTTTTAGTACTACAAGAAGCCTCAAGTACAGAAATAATCTGTGGTTTGAAAAATAATTGGAAGATGTCTTAAAGTGCTTAAATGTTATTTATTTGTACTATCTAAAGTGAATTAATTTCATATGTACAGAAAAGACTAAAGTATTGTAGTCAGATTGTGTGTAATTGCACGTCACTAGAATAGCTACCTGAATGAATGTGGCAAGTAAAACACAACTCATCTCCTGCTCCAGAATGATCTTGTTCTGAGGGTTATTGTAACAAGCAGCTATTAGCGTAGGGAAGAGCACTTTGATTAGGCGAGGATCACTGAAATACTGGAAAGGCAACTGGCATAGTTTTTGCAGCACTGTGGGGTGACGGCCAGATTGTACAATTACCTGAAAATACAAGAGTAACATAACATTAGAACAGTTGTGCTGTCTGCTCTTCCTTTTACATTAACTGGTAGGAATTTGGAAACTATAGTAACTAAAAGAACATGGTTGAGAAAAAAATGTTTAATGAATGCTAAAAGAAAAGCTCAGAGGATTTAATCAAAATAATTTCTGTAATACAAGTATTATATCCATAGCAGTTATAAGAATGTAAGGAATATTTGATTATAAAGCATCCTTTTCCTGCATAATTAAAAAAAAACCCAAGCAAATGAAAACAGAGTTATTTGAAGACTACTATACATCATTTAATGCTACGATAAGAGAGACAAAGTAATACTGCAAAGAGATGATAATAATTTACAATAACACACTTTTAAAATATAATAAGCATGATTTTAGAAAAATAATAAAGAGATCACCAGTAATGAAATAACCCTTATGATGCACATTCATGCTTTACTATAATTCTCTCTAGCAATTATAAAAGACTATGTTTCATCATAGATGTCTGCTACACATTCACCCAGGCACTGAAAAGAAAAGGTGATTGTAAATTGCACAGCAATGAGTTTCAGCAAGTATAGACTCAGAAAGATCCTCCCATCTGTATTTCTTATCTCAGTTTCTATCAGTGCCATTGACTCTAAAAGGAGAATTGTTTAGATAAATGGAACTGTTGTCATGAAGCAGGCTAGGTTTACAACTGTGTACATCTGAAGAAATAAAGCAATGCCATTAATGGTATCTTTCAGGGGAACCCTCCTAATTTACTCACTAGTCGTACAAAGTCTTGATGATAAACTAAAAAATGTCAAAATCAGATCTGTTCCGAGTAACCTTGATTAGACAATTATAATATGAAAGAGCTGCTTGACCCAAAGTTGGCTTTTCAGTATAGGAGGAAGCTCCTATAAGGTTAGGAACACTGTAAAACTTAAGGTCATGACTGTAAATTGTACTTGGAAAAACACAATTTTACAGGTACACACCCAGACAGGACTGCATTCAAATTAAAACCAGAAGGACAGAAAGAAGCAGTGGAGACCACAGGAACATAAATTACAGGGATTTACAAGTTTTCAAAGCACTTTTAACAATACGTTAAGAACACACTCTCAGTTGATAATGCAGTTTGGTTTAAGAACAAGATCAACAAAGTAATAGTTCACATTTTTTAGTTCAATAGCCAAAAAGACATTGAAAACCCTTCAGAGAATACTGATAGGAATGCCTTAATTCTCTTAAATCCAAGAGGAATTTTTAAAAAACAACCAAATATGTGACAATTTAGCATGCATTCAGACATTTCTCTTTTGAGAAAAATATTATCTACATTATCAATAAAGCACCAGGATGAATCTATAGTTAATTATCAGCTACAAATTCTGTAAGCAAATGATCACCATTTTGGAATGTACAATTACTGTTTTCAACCCTAGCTATTTCAATATTTTTAATGTAACTCTGTATTCTTCTCTTTTAAACTCTCCTGCTATAAGAGTAATTAATTTAAAAATTCCACCATAGGCTGGAATAACTGCAACTGATACAATTCTGACTCAAGGATGACAGAACTCTTTGGCTTCCTGTTACTGGCTATTGTACATGATAAACGGGCAGAAGTGATTTCTCATCCTACATTACCAATTCTAACTAGTTATTCAAAGAATGTATGGATAGTTAGCAACCTCATCCCCAAGTAGTGCCACATATAGCTACTGCATTCATAGAATTAATATTTAAAAATCTTTTTCTTTTCAGTTTTAAGGCTGGGTTACTATGTAGGCATCACAAATAAATGCAGTGAGCTAATATACTAGAGGCACTGATTATTTTAAGTCTGGCATTTATCACATATGGAATCAATTTAATGATTTTAGTTCATTGTATCCAACATGGCTGATAAAACTGATACAACTGGGAGTATATACTCTGAAGAAACCAACAAGAGAATTACCTTCTTATTGAAAAGCAATAACAGAAGTACAGCTTCTTTGTTCAGTGAATGGAGTAAATAGAATTCAGCATCTGATTTATAATAGTGAACAGTAAAGAAAACAAATCAAAACCTTCCCTTTTACTCTCCTTTATGATGGTTAAGTAGTGTCTCAACATTAAAGTTAATTTATTTCTCTCTTTTTTAAAAATTGTAATATCAGATCCTCACTTGCCTCTTTGCTGAGGGATCCTGGCAAGATTTGTAGGATCAGAGTAGTGATGTAATAAGAGGCTGTAACCTGAGCTAAAATTCCCTCTCCCCACAATTCAGTAAAGAAAAGTGCTTATTTTTTCATTGTCTGTCTGAACCGGTAATTCTCCTGTAACTTGCTTTTCCTGCCACTCTTCCTCCAGTGGAAGAATGCTGAGCATACACTTGTTTGTCACATTTACTAAAATCCCCAATTCAGCAGGCCATTTCTATTCAGCAAAGGATTTAAGCACATACCTGAAGTTAAGCATCTGCTTAAACTTTCCTGAACTGAGGCCTAAATATCATATCAGTAAAAGCTACATAACTTTTATACCCATTTTCTGACCAACTTAAGCCAGTGTGTCATTTACAGCACTTATTAGAACCAGTAAAAATAATATTTTGCAATTTTTTGTTTTTTTGTTGAAATTAAAAAAATCATAAAGCTCTATTGCTTACTTCACTGCTAGACTTGCCTCAGAGAACTGCCGTGGGAGATGCAGCTGCTTACCTCAAGCTGTATTTTGGCCCAATACATAAATAATTAGGAAAATAACCTGGTAAAGAGATGGGCAACTAATGCTTACATACATTGGCTGAACCACACTCACAATGTATGCAGCTACCAAGGAAGAGAAAACAGGTATCTGGAAAATACAGTGCTGAAGTAACTATTTAAAGGTTTTTATATTGCATTTTTGTTTGTCTACAAGTAAAATAACACAGCTAAAACTCATAATGCACACTAGTGAGGAGTTCTCACTACATATTAGAACTAAAGGCTCCACTATGGGACTCTCATGTTTGACATTAAGCACATATTTAAGTGTTTTCCTGTGTAGGAATAGACTTACTCATGCCCTTAACTTTAAGAAGATATTTAAATGGTTTGCTGAATTGGGGCCAATGGCACAGTCCACTCAAAAGTTAAATGTTGTTAAAATTAGGAGCTATCTTCCATCTTGTAGAGTTGAAGATAACATTGTCATATTAGCTGAAACGTAGAACTTACTGAGAACATAACTTAAAAATGGCACAAAAATATATTAGTTATTTCTTATGTATATGTATTATCATAAATATTCTTTACAGGTCCATGTGTGATGTTTTAATTAACATCTATATCAAATCTTTGGTATTACAGCAGGTGCACCAGTTTTGACTGCTACATACATAAGGGTGAAAAATAGTTTCCATTTTTCCTTTTTTCATTTATTCTTAACTTTCCAAAACATTCACTTTGAAGACTGACATTTTTCATGTTTGGTCTCTGCCTAAATCTGCAACCTTCCCAATCTCTTACATTAATTTTAGCATTTAATTTGCATATATTAAAACAAGAGCAAACTGTTGCTAGAGCTCTCTGAGAGTTCTAGGCAGAAGGCTGATGTGATGACCTCTTCCTATTTCCTCTCCTGTTGAGCAGGCTGTGTAGGGTGACCACACTTTTAAAAATGGAAAACCTTTAAAAGGAAAGGGACACCTTTCTTGCTATTGTCACCAGAGGCTGGGGATGCAAGAGGTCTGGCAGCTAGACAAGGGTCAAATTGAGAATACTTGTCAGTAGTGTTTGTGGGGGAATTTGGTACCTAGGAGGGTGTGTTTATGCTTTTCATTGGCAGAAGGGGTCATGTATGAGTTTGGCAGTTAGGAAGGCCTTTGGGAGGTGCCTACTTGTGTCTGTCCTTCACTATCCCACCAACTGACCTTTCAGCTTCCTTCCTGTCCCAACAGCATCCAGTGTCTCCAGTAACCTAGTGTCGGGCATCCCTCCCTCCCTTACTGGTGAATTCAGCACTTCCTGGGCCCTGGCTGCACTTTGCAAGCACTGTGCAACAGTGAAGAGCCATCCTGATCCTGAACTGGTGTTTGTGAAGCTGACCTTTTGGGAGAGCACAATTCCTCAATTCTGATGCCTCTAGATGGCAGCCTATGCCACCTACCTTTAATGCCAGTCCTGTTATTTTAACATGATTACATGTTAAATATGACCCAAGAGGGTAAAGAGAAAATTAACATATGCAGTAGATCACTATGAAACAGTGCAGTGTCTGAAATTCAACGGTAAACCAAGAACTATCTAGTTAAACAAGATGCATTTCCAAATATTGTGCTGAGAAAGAAATGCAAGGTGGTCTACTGACACAGAACCAGTTCATTCACAGCAAGAATCCAGTGGCCACAAGATACACCTGATCTTTATAAAATAGTGTGCCTCTGGGATTTTGTTTCCTTCCTTTTACTCTCAATCCAACAGTTCATTCAGGATAATATTTACCATACAAATGTAAGATATTACTTAGTAGCTTGTTGCACTATATCTAATTAGAATGCCAAACATAAATGTTCCTAGGTATGTAATAGTTAGCACCAGTCTAGAAGTCTCAGCCTTTCACAGCTGGATATATTCTAAAAGTGAATGACATGTGACAGGTGATATGCTACACAGCATTCTAAATATTAAGGAAGGATAATCAAATCAAGGAATTGGAAAAAAAATTGTACTTGCCCCCTCTCCTTGTGGGATGGAATGGCTGCAAAGAAAACACAAGGTTGCCCTCACAACATTTCCTCTTAATTACTCTGCTGAGAGACAGGGTTTTCCCCTTAGAACTGGTAGTGGTTTGGCCCAGAGATCTGGGGTATTGGTGCAGGGTAAGGTCATCCACACCACTTCCTGGACTCTGCAGCTCTGTCTTAGATCTCTGTCGAGACAGGAGCACCAACAGGGCTTCCCTTTCCAACTCTTGGCACTCTCTACCTCTTGAAAGTCCCCTGTGCAGAAAGGGCTCTGCTCAGAAGTTAATAA